GCACAACGCAATTGCTCACCACCCACTGAGCGATGCCCAGCCCGACCCCGAGCAGCGATTGCCCCTCCCTGGCCAACTCCCCCCAGCTTATATACTGAGCATGACGCCGTATGGAATGGAGCACCCCGTTGGGCAGATGGGTCAGCTGTCCTGGCTATGCTCCCTCCCAGCTTCTTGTGCACCTGGCAGAGCATGGGAAGCTGAAAAGTCCTTGACTCAGTGTAAGCACCACTTAGCAACAGCTAGAAACATCAGTGTGTTATCAACTTTCTTCTCATACTAACTCCAAAACACAGCACTAGGAAGAAATTTAACTCTATCCCAGCTGAAACCAGGACAACCATAAAATACACTGGATGACCAAGCCATTGATTTCAACATCTGAATAGTAAGACTTTTCTTTCTTCTATTGACTTTTTTGTAATTACCTTCATTTCAAGTGGCAGTGAACTGAGAACACAAAATCCACTGTATTTGAGTTTCAACCATAACTTACTACTTTTTTTTTTTTTTAAAGTAAATCTGCGAATAAGCTCAACTAACACAACTGAAGCACTGATCTGCAAGTATGAGCTTGGACTTCTGCCTTGCACAAGAAGCACAGCCTTGCCATCAGCCCTTTTAAAGTATTGCTGTATGCACGTAGACTAAGAACCTACAGAGAATAAAACAAAGTACTGACAACAGATATTAAAGAGGCCTGGTCACTGCATGCTTTTGAAGATGTCCCAAAGACATAATAGAAGAGTATGTGCATGAAGCTGGCAAAGGCATTTTGCTCAACAGCAGCTTAAAGAAGCCAGAGAACGTGTAACATAACTGGAGGTTACTCCCGATTCTAGCACGGGGTAGTGCAGCAATGTGACTTTTGGGCTAACAGGAGGACAAACATCGGAAAACACGGTGACAAAAAGATTAAAAAGTCTTTTAATGTTACAATAAGATAGCTCTCCCACAGCAACATTGTGAATACTACAATCTGCATTCAACTTCCTGAAAACAGATTTCTCTTTCTATTCCCTGACCATTTGTCACAGAAACACATCCTGACGGAAGGGGCTTCTCATTGTAAGAAGCACAGTAGCATGACATACGAAAGTTTTTAGGTCAGAAAGTTCCTTTTCACATCCCTCTGTCTTATTCACAGTTAATGCAGAAAATACAAGAGCCACCATCTTTTCTAGCAGGAATTTCTACTGCCTCAGAGAAACGTCCACCTGTCTGGCACCTGTAGAGCCTACCAAAACCACAGTCATACCAGCAATTTAACTCGGTGACACCTCTACTGGTAGGAGCTCTCCATGTAAATAGTGGGTAGAAAAAAGCTATCCCCTGGTCAAACTTCAGGAGCCATTTCTGCTTGAAATAGTGTGGTTTGCAATCAAAGACCACTTCAAACTAATGTATGTTTTTAAACTGTAATGAAACATTGTCAGTATGAATACATATTGTATTTCAATTTTTAATTAAATGTTTCCACATCAAAAAAGCATTTTTTCCTGCTCCATCTTCTTTTGCTTCAATTGCTAGGTGATGCTGGTCTGCTACACTTTACTGAAGATCATCTATAAAGTAGAAAACCAATGAACTCCAAAATCCACCCTTTTGACACATAAGTACGATGTGGAAAACCACTAATAGCAGCCATCCTACAACACTGCATGCCATTCAACCTCCCTTCTTCTAGCACCCTTCCAAAACCCTGATGAATAGGATGTAACTGCTGACTACAGACCTACTCAAATATTTGCTTAGAATTGCTTGTATGTGACAAAATGAAATTACCGTAATTGGGATTACTAACGAAAGTACGCATTCCCAAAAGATTGGTCATACTCAGTATACAAGTAGGGGTTGCAGGCAGAATTTTTCAATACAGAAATTCAAGATATTGTAGGAGATATTTCATTGTAACATGGTACAGTGCAATCACCCCTAAAATGCTTACCTTACAATACTCTTCCTACAAGTGCATTTTTAATCAAATTAATTCATTAAAAAGCGTTTTAGAAAAAAACAGTATGTATGCCTTGAATAAATATTGAAAAGTATATTCCTCAGTTTTACATTCTCAGCTGCATTCGCAGACACTTTTGTTTAATTAGCATTACCCAAAAGAATTCCAGCCGGTCTAACCCATCTCATACCATACAAAAGCTGTAGAAAAAAAAAAATTGTAGCTTGTTTTAAATGCCTGGAATCTCCTCCCCTGAACACAGAGCCAAATACTGAGTTTATCTGGTTTCAAACTGCTCTTCTGAATTGCAGTGTGTTTGATTAAAATTTGTCTACCAGAGATTCACAGACACGACAGCACTTTTGCTGCCTGATGGTCCCAAAAGGTCTTTTTAACTGCCTTAAGAAAGAAAATCACTGCAAATAGTTAAATCATCTCCCCCTTACTTCCACAAAGAAAAAAAAAAAACCCGCAAAACCACGAACGCCCCGAAGCACATAAACCCACCCCCAAACAGGAGACCCAGGGCTACCTGACAAGATGAAGCATGGACTGAGGAAAGATTAGAAGAGGCAAGTGACCCTCTAGATGGTAGGAAAGCCACCAAAAGAAACTGGAAGCAACTGCGTGGGAAAAAAATAAGCTCCCTTCCCTCAGCACTTTTGCTGTTTCCAGCACAGTAATTCACACAAAAGTAAATACTTGGAAACACTATTGCAGAAACTATTTGTAAAGCATCCCACACAATTGCTCAGCGCGGTGTTCTTAACCACGTGAATTCAGTGTAATTTAATTTGAGAAAGTAAATGATCTCATTCACCCAAATACTTCGCATTAGATGCCGGTATTGCTTTTGCCTTTCAAAGGAGTGTTCACAGCTACAATTTAGCATTGAGTTTCCGGGCTAATGAAAGTGCATCTAGGCTAGTAAAACAGACCAAAACAAATCCTTGAATTCAAGTCCTGTTGTGTAATGAGGAAGTTTAATTAAGGCCACACATTACAGCTGTAAACGTTCTCTTATATAATAAGGTCTAAATGAAACTGAACCTAATCAAAGTTACAATTCCTTCATTAGCAAATTACAAACAAGAGCGCACAGCTGACACACCGGCTATGATTATCACAACTAATTGCCTCGTTGTTACAAACCAGCCTGAAACTGTGTTCAGATGTCCGTCTGCAGTAGCAAATTAGGGCCACATCAGGCTATTTCTGCGATCACAAGGGGCTCTTGTAGAGCGATCTGATTTACCCCGCCGACTGGCAGCACACAGCCCAATCAAAGCCCCCTCTACAAAGGCAGCTTTGAAGCCAGCACAGCCTAGAAACCCGCTCCATATGCAGGCCGGCAGACTGCACTTCATTAGGCCTGTTGTCACATTTTCCCTCTTCTTATTCTAATGATCCTATTTTAATACACATAGGAACCTCTCCTAATTGATGTCAAGTGAGTGACTTCCACATTCATCACCGGAGCACATCAAACGCGTCTTGGCGCTCGGGCCCGCCATCAGAGTGCTTAAGACCCGAGGTGTGTCTCCAACTACAGAAAGCAACAAAAAAAAAAAAAAAAAGTATTTTGGCTTTACCTGTTTAATTGGGATTGCGCGACCGCTTCCAATGCTATCTGTTCTGCTCTCCAGGACCTTCTTGTCTTTGTCTGGGTCACTCCCTTTCCGAGACTGCAGAGCAAAAAGAAAGTTTGTGCCCCATTAAATGTAGCGGTTCACACAGAGGATGCTTTTTTTTTATCTTTTAAAGCAATTAAAAGAAAAGTATTTTGACACATAAATATAGACTCAAAGGGTGCAGATTAGAATCTACAAAAGTACACAACTGTCCCAAAACGTGAATATTGAAATACCACCTCTCATTTTCAACCATCCACTTGTTTGAAATGGGGTTTGGGTTTAAAGAGTTTCACTGCCTGAAGACCCAGCAGATCAGAGGACACGTTTCTGAAGTCTCCAATAGTAGCTCCAAATAGGAATGAAGGTTCCAGCTTCTCATTAAAAAAATCTGATATATGCATGCATACATTTAACTTACATCTGTGTGGTTTTTAGAAATGTTATCAACTACTTAGAAATGCACTTTTATGATGCTGGTTTCAATCATATTGATTTTAATTTTTTATTTTTTCTACTTTTGGATGGTTAGAAAGTTGGAATTGCAAGAAAATGTAGTGATTGATGCTGAAAAAAAATTATCTGAACACAGATGCTGAAAAAAATTATCTGAACACAATGAAGAAAAACCAGCATGAGGAAAATTAAACCAATGTTTAAAACTTGAATTGCCTGATCTTGGCTTTCTATAACGCTAGAATTGCCCTAGGAGTAAGTTCACAGTGCTCACTTCATGACTTTATAAAGTTATATAGTAATTTTAAGAAGTTATTCAGATTCCAGTCCATTATTGTGAAAGAACGCACGAGCATAATGATTGTGACAGATTTATTTTATTACAAAAAGAAGACCTGAGAATCATCCTCCTTAATAACTGAACTGACAAGTGACAACTTCACTCCATTACTTTTCAATAGGAACATTACTCACACAATATCGAAAATGGGAAAACATTTTCATGTGCTTTTCAAATCAGAGATGATATATGAAAGGAATACATTCGCGATGTCCAGTACCACTACGGGAAGTTAATGAAAACCAGAGCAACCCAAGATCCCGCTTTTCATTTTCAGCGGAAAGAGATGTTTGAAAGACACTGAAATTAGGAGAACGATTAGGATCCCGAATAGCTGATACCCGTTTTCCATATTATACGAAGGGGTGGAAGGAAGAAAAAAATCCCCAAAGCAGTTGCCTTCGGGGGCGAGAGGAGGGAAGGGGAGGGAGAAAACCCACGGAGGAGGACTTCAAGTAACACCATTCTAAGCAACACATTTACCCAGCAGGGATCCTGTGCTGCTTTCCCCGCTCCGCTGGGAGCGGGCTCCTATCACTAGTTACTATGGTTCGGGGCAATGGAATGACGTGCCGGGGAATTAAACAAAGAATAAATGAAAGAAAGCAAAACAAGTGGGAGGGATGAAATCCAATGTTCAGGATAACTATTGTTCCTCGTCCTTCAAGACAGATTTCTGAATCTGAAAGTGCCACTTCCCAATAATACAAGGCAAAACAATGCTTCAATGGTGCAAAGCGCCCGTCAGTGACATTTTAAAGAAACCCAGTGAAGGTAGCCAAATCCTTGGGAGGGAAGTTGTCAACTTGAATGTTTCTTTTTTATTTGACTTTTTTAAAGAAAGGATCCTGCCTCTGAAAAGCAAGCTAAATATCTCCGCGCTATTTTTTGGTTTTATTTTTAAATCATCATGTCTTCCATTCCGTAAAAGTAATGGCATCTGGAAATAATACATTGCACATAGAAGGGAAATATCTATATGCAAAATATTGTCAAATGCCAAAAGTATAGAAACATAGGAATTTCTGTTAGGCAAATTCTATTCTAGCTGCCTGTAATCACAGAATACATAAAATTTTCAAGGGGAGAATCTTAGCAGGCTCCGCTATTTATAAAGACAAATCATGCAGTGAAATAGAGATATATTCTGATCTTTTATGCTTTTGTACCTATGACACACACAATGCATCTTACATCCTATAGTGTGAAAAAATAGACTCTAAACCATACTGGATCAACATTTGCTAGGACTTTTTCTGATGTCACATCTACACATTAAGTCGTTCTATTTAAAAGTTCATTCAAGCAAACCAGAAAAAGTCCAAAAAAATTAAAACGCCTGCATGAATATAATTTGACTCATTTCCCCTTTGCATTGGAAGTCATATGCAGACTTATGTCAACATAAAACCTTACTTAAATTAGGTCTGTGAAGTAAGATTTAGTCCCAGAGGGATGCAGTACCTGAGTTTGGGCACAACCAGAAGCCAGCATCAGCAGTCCAGAGAGCCCCAAAAGTAAGAATACTGATCTCTAATAGTAGGTACTGAGACAGAGAGTTCATTTTAACTTTTAAAAAAGTCTTGCTTGCGATTCTGCAAAGATAGGTGATATTGAATATGGGAAAGGAGATTCATCTTACTGTACTAGCAGTTCATTCACCCCATATGGATTGGACACATAGTTACAATCAGTTCTTTGCAGAAGTGGACCTCATATGCATCTTAAATCGCCACCTGCGCTATAGGCTATCATGTAGCTGTCCCTGTTAATACACTGCACAAAACAAAGGGCATTCACCCTCCTGCTAATACTTGATCTGTTTTATCACCTAAGTAGAAAGTCAGCTATTGCAACAGCTTTACAGCAAATATTAATATTCAAAGTCAAAAAGATCAGATACTGCATTTAATGCACTTAAATATGAACATGCTTAAAATTCTCAACCTTATTCCAACTCAAGCTGTAATCGATTTAAGAAAAATCGTATCTGTTTTCTACTTAACCCAATTTTCTTCCAATACTAAAAGATCTTCATGTAGGAAACTAAACATATTACCTATGCTAGATAACAAGGGGTAATTTGCAATTAAACAGAAATACATTTGATTCTGTTAAGTGATAAAGGCATAAGCAAGTAACAGGCTAGGAAAGAAGCACAGCAAGAAACCCAGAGCTAAATAGTAAAATATTTTGATTGCGCACTCTGTTCATAACTAGACAGAAAATACTGGTCATCTATTTGTTCAATTAAATAATTCCAGATTATAACTTGGCTGATATGGCATGAAACCTGGGTTACAGCAGGGTCAGTGTTAAATACTTCAGGACATGGATTACAGGGCAACTCATTACACAACATTCAATGTGCCCAGATCTTAAAGGACAGAACTAATTCTAAAAAGTCAATTTCCCCACCCCCCCCC